GCGGCTCAGCAACAACACAGCGAGGAAGGGACGATTCTCTACCTAACCTCAACAAGCTGCATTGAGCCGTAGTGGCTGAATCAAATGGAAAAGAAAATGGAAAATGAAATGGACACTGGAGTAAAATGTAGGGATATTGGACAATCAAATGGAAACTACTATATTGGGGTTATGAGAAGCTACACTCAGCAGCTGCTTGACACAGCAGAAGACACAAGCAGGGCTCGCCAGATCACATGTTTGCAGAAGCGGTCAATGAGTAGTTGTGCCAGCCAGGAAAACGCGTACGCCTCTCTCTCCCACCATAAACGCATTAAATGTGTCTTGCAGCAGCAGCAGCAGCAGCAGCAGTTGTACTTGCAGTTGCAGTTGCAGTTTGTTGCTTTCCTTCATCAGGGCGCTTGACGCCAGAGCACGATTCAAAGCAGAATGTGAGGACATTCCGTGGAGCAGGATTTGAAGTCGAATGTCAGGATGCTTCGCGCGAGAATATGATTTTCAAGCAGAACATGAGGACGCTCCCCTCAAGAGGTCTGCCCACCCCCCACCCACCCCCCACGCCCGCGAAACTGCCACCAGTCTGCCGTGAGTTCGGAATTCGGTGGCAGTGACCGTACTTCAGGTCTCCGGCGGCCACGTAGCTTCCCCAAAAAAAGTCGAAAATTGAAAGCCCAAACCCTTAAAGTTAGGCACAAACCGTAAAACGTAAACCCAAACCCGAGACCTCAAACTCAGACATTAAACCTGAAACCCAACCCTGAAACTCTAAGCAATTCCCAACCCCAAACCCTAAGCAACCCCAGCTCCAGACCCCCTAAGAGACCCTGAGCAACCCCAGGTCCTAAACCCTGAAGGAGCCCAAACACCAAATCCTAAACTCAATCCAAGCCCCAAACCCCAAAGAAGCTTAGGGTTTAGGGTTTAGGGTTTAGGGTAGATCCTGAACAACCCAAACCCAGCAAGTTCCTAAGGAACTCAAATAGGAGCGTGGGTAATACAGCCCCGACGCCGAGTCCGACAACGCCGTCGACAACAACGACAATGATGACGAGAAAACATGGTAGGCACATGGTACAGTCTGCGCACTATAGAAAATAGCAGTCGACGACTGCGGCTGCTGCAACCCTTCCTTTATCAAGTTGATAGTGCTTGCACCATACTAACGAGGAAAAGATATACAGCCTTAGAACAGGAGCTGCGCTGCGGCCTGCCGTGCAAACAACAACAACAACAACAACAACAACAACGATGCAGCGATGACGGCCGCAGCAGCGCTAGCGCCAGTGCCAGCGCCAGCGCCACCGCTGCCGCGGCCGCCACCACCACCACCACCACCAGCACCACCAGCACCACCAGCACCACCAGCACCAGCACCAGCACCAGCACCAGCACCACGAGGCAAAGTAGGCCTGTCAGCAAGAGTTACCGCCCACGCAAAAGCAAAATCCAGGTATGGAGCAGCATATTCTCGAGAAGAAACTCATCCGAGGCCGCTGCTTTCGCTGCGTAGCGCCTAGCCGCTGACCTCGTGCCTACCATTTGGACCATGGTGTGTGCAGCTCGAGTCCCAGATATGAAGGAGCTCGAAAAAAGGGCCAACTGCGGTTCACAATTGCACATAATATAATGTGGTGGATAGGGATCATAGGGTATACATTGGGCTTATATTGGGATAGTGAAAAAGATAATGGAAACTACTCAGAAAAATCTGTAAAGTTGTGAGTCTCTGCATCTGCCTCCCGAAGACTGCGCACAGTGTCATAGACCACGGAAGGCACCTGGCTCCACTTGGCTCCACCATTCCGGCTGGCACGAAGTACCCCATTATTATTGTCTTTTCTGCGGTGATGTGCTGGTGTTGCAGTTTGGCCGAGAATCCCATAAACAGAAGACTACATTCCCGAAGAGCAGGGAGATATAAGCCTGCTCCGGAAAAACTAGAGGAAGTGGCGAAGTGCGCAGTGCAAATGATCCACGAATTTGGGGCCCGAGCGCCAACAGAGGTGGCATAAAGGATAGCTTCGAGTGGGTCGTTAGCAGGTTTTGCCTGAGCTGCCACAAGTCTGGCCATTGAGCAACTCCCGTCTGAAGAGCATGCTGCTTGCATTGAGCATCTCCACTTGATCAAGCGCTCAAGACTTTATATTGGGGTAATATTGGGGAAAATTGGCATAAGGGAAAAGAGAATGGAAACTACTATAGTATATTGGGGTATTTGGGTTACAAATAAGGTGCAAAGCCTTGGTAATTTCAACAAAGCACATGAGCTATAGTCTAAACTCCTAGTATCCCCCTCAATAATCCCTATAGTAGTCCCCTATATAAACCCTAAAATAACCCCCTTTAAGGAGTTTAGACCCTAAAACCTAAA